TTCCTGATGCCGGATATGTACTTCGTATCCGGAAACTTATTGCTCTGCCCTCATATTTCTCGACAATGAGGGTATTGCCTCTTCAAGGGGTTTGATCAGGACAAACCGAATTATTGGCAAAATTGCGAAAGTTAAAGGCCAGAAAGACAAGATTTTACGGGCTGCATGATACGCAAAGAGCAAACATGTGTATAACGCGCCTTGACAATTGAGCGCAGATGTTCTGTCAGCGGACAAATAGTTTCTGAATGATCTGTTATCATTGCTAGAACGTGATATTTGCCCAACTACTGGTCATTGCAGAGTTCTGCACGCTGCGATATTGGTAATTTAATCAGTATTAATATCCTGTCTGTGTTCCTTTTGCCTAATCCGCCTTCCGCTATGTGTCCAAGCTAACACCTGAGTTTTCCACTGGATTATCGTTGCTATTACGATAACCAAGCGCCCGTTTTTATCACCACTTTTTCTCTAGCCTGCGGTTGTTTTTACTCTATGCAACATAATTTCATGCATACCCACCTATCTTGTTTGATCCTGTGCTTGCCAGCATAACCATTCTCATTTAACATGGAGAAAATCGAAGTCTCAATGCGCCCTGTTGGACGGATCAAATGTGTTTAGACTTTGCACAAATCTATATTGGCTGTTGCGGGAGCGATTTCCATTCACCTTCGGTTACCCATCTTAGCATTCTCATTTGGCCAACAAGCGAATTATTTTTGCCCCCTTGTCGGGGTCAGTGTATCCGAGCTCTTACCGGTGCTTTCTACACCATACTGACAATGAGATGCACGTGGTTACATGTTTATGATGATTTCAAGGCGCGTGCTAATCGTGTGGGACAACTGATCGTCATTCTCATTAACTACCACTTGGCCAAACGATGAATCCCTCGCTTCTCCTCCCGCAGGAAATGCCTTAACTATTTTTACTAAACCGTCCGAACTCCGTTCGTTTTCCGGTATTTCGCTGTGCGGTGCTACGCAGTCGTTCTTGACAATGCATCTGGTCTTTTAACCACTAGACTTGAACGAAGTGATGCAGAACGATGTGTTGCAGAAGAAATTTGCTAGCTTAAGGCTGACTCTCCTCCATGATTTATGGCTGTCACGCTCATCTAACCATACTCCGGTGAATTATTAATACGAAGTTGATGTTACATTATTAAACCATCCATTCTCCTTGGTTATTTGCTCCATAATGCATTATCTGACAGATTCTCATGTTGCCTATCACGTCAACGACAAACCCTACTGGGATTATCCCTTCTCTAGCACTGTTTCTCTCAGTTGCCCATCTTCCTTCATCCGGTTCCTATGGGTGTTACTCAACATCGAATGTTGTATCTGTATGCACTGCGTCTTCATGTATCTTACGATTGTTACCATGTAACATGGACAAAGATCTTGTTTCCACTCGTATACTTTGCTCCCCTTCATTTGTCGTCTGATCAATAAAGTGCACAAAAGCGAAATCGATTTCACCCATCAGCTTTATCTATGACTTTCTTGCTTTCTTAACTCTACTTCATTTCCGATGACGCACTTTCCTTTTCGGCCACATACAAGGAATTTGTATTTGGCCGATGCGTATCCACGAAATGACATCATCATCCCAAAATCTTCGTCTTCAACTCTCTTATTCATTAGTGGCAGTTAATATTGATACCGTGTGCTAATATTTTAACAAATTTGGCTCGCCCTAAACTGCTGTGTGGTCACAATTTGTTTTCAAGCTATCCTTTTTCACACTACGATTTTTAATCTGGATTTATTCGGACTTATCGAGGCCGACCTCAATTCACTCACCTCACTTTGGTCCACTTCGGACTGCACTCATATCACCGTCTGCGCACTCCTTTGTTTTAGGATGGTGGCAACCGTTTGTGTGCTGTCGATGATGGCCAGGAACACATTATTTCAGTGTGGGAATGGCAAACTGGTCGGAAAATAACTGATACGAAAGTGAGTTGCTTACATGTCGTCATTTTTCATGGCACACATTGTGTGTACATGCTCAACTTATTCACTCACTGCTTTCGTTTCACTTTTATGGTCACTTCGCTTAGGAACTCGTTGACACCACTCGTCAATCACGACTTGGACCTTTCTGTTGTTCCAGACAAATCTGGCTTAACAGGCTGATGAATGGTTTCATCTGATGAAATTTATCAATGCATTGGGTTGTTAATCAGTAAATGGGTGTCACTTTGTCACTCACGGTATGCGCACTAAGTGGACATTCCGAATGAAATGATGGATCTCAGCGATGAGCCAATTGGCGCTGAGTGCTCGAGTGGGGCTTCTCATTCGAATGCATCTTTTCGCATCGATCCAATATCGAGGAGCGTCTTCCGCACATCTTCCAAGAGCGGCTCCATAAAAGCTGCGAACCACTGATTCGGCATCACTGGAGACGCGAGGCAGCCCTTGGATGAGTTAGTGTGCTGCTGCCATGTATGCGTGTTTCGGAGACAACATACATCGACTCCAATGAGGTGTGCTGCCTGTGAACCGATCCGATGTAGTGTGCGGACTTTAAAAGGCACTTTAGGGAATAGTACCTTGTTTGAAACTAGTTTGACGTCGTTACTAGTTTGACTCATTCATTCAAAAGCGACTTATCACTGGTAAACAGGAGAACAGGATTAGCTCAAAGGGAACGGAAGGGAATCGATAAATAATGGTGCTGCCTTTTAATCGCATTGATGTTCTCCGGTTAACCACTCCGGAAAAAGCACTTTTATTGGAGCGGACGTATCTAGAACCTGATTAACCAATTATAGCCCTTTACTTAACAAACCTATCTTCATGGCTGATGGTATAATAGTCCGACTCGAGAGTGTGACTGCCTGGTCCCATCGGAATCTGCCTGAGGCCGGCCACACAATTTTGTGGGATCTGTACCCAGTCGTGCATGTTTGTTTGCCCTCGAAACTTGCGATTGTCGCTAACTACGTGTTAATATTGTCGGGTTTTGTCCTATGCATACAGGTTATTTCGTTTGGCTCAGGCATTAGGGAACCAACACTCAACCGGGGTGCTCTCTCATTGTCAAAGATAACCTCTGGTTCCCCTGCTTTGCACTAATCGAGGTGATCTCCTAAGTCGCATTCTGTCGCTTCTCTAAGCTGTTTCTGGGGAAGCGGAGCATCGGCTGCTCCCAAACCCCCAAACACTGAGTTTAGGTGACTTTGAACCTTTAATTTTTCTTGTATGAGTGATTCTGAAGTACATGAAAAGTGCCACCTAGTGTAGCCCAGTAGATAACAGAGGTACTCAGACTATTGTGCTTGTCGGGTTGACGCTGCAAACCTTCAGCCTGCGTCACCATGAAAAAGGTATCAGTTCCATCTTCACTTTCTAGTATTAAGTATATCTCAGAATTCCACTTTCCTTCCACTGCTCATTGCCTATGTTGGCTACTAGAGGCATACAAACGCTTTTTCTTATTTCTTTACATACTTCTTGGTCTACACAGCAAGTTTTGACGCGCTTGCTTCCACCTATGGTGTTTTTGACGCAATTTTGATCACAGTTAGCAATTGTTTTAATTACACTCTCAACTAAAATTCCCGCATTTGTTGCAACAACCTTTCACCACACTATATTGATCGAGCAACACCGCAAACAAGGGGACCATCATCTATACTTTTGTTGAGGATATTCGTCGCTGCTAACCTTTGCTGGACAGCTACCACCATCACCAAACAACATATATCTCTTCTACACAACAATCTTTTACTTGTTCACCTCACCATCGTTGGTTAACACTTGCCCACTTTGATTGGTCCTATGCACACGTTCACGCACGTAAACGCACTTCCCTTCGGTCTTTGTCACCTAAGTCCAGTCATTTGTTTAGTATACTGTGCTCTGAACACACTCATTCTTCTTATTTTATTAGGATTGAGTTTTGACATTTGGCGGCGGAGATTAACATTACTATGACGAACACACCACCGCTCTTCTGATCATGTTATATCGACAAACCTTTGGCCACTTGCAATGCATGACGAAAAACCCTCATTGCTTATCTGGTGTTGCTCCCTATTCGGAATCCAGCAGTGATTCTTGCCAAAAAAAAACAAAATAAAACTTCTACAACAGATTTTTCGTATTGACGGGTAAATATATTTCGTCGCCTTCTATACTGACGACATCTACCATGACTGGTGCTCTTTGGGTTGTTCATCGAAATGTGTTTACGGCTATATATTACTTCTCGAAACTCACTCAGAAAACAAATGAAAGCATACACGAATTCTTCATGTCACTTGACTGTAAATACAGTGAAATCGATCCAGCGAAGTTTGAACACACGATGTTGGAAAATCATGACCAAATAAGTGTTGACTTAGAGTTCTTTTCGAGTAAACTCTCATCGGACCCAAACGTTCACATTGCAGAGATTAAGTGTTGTTAGTGTTAAATTAGATAGGGAAATTGCTTACTTGGTTTTAGGGTTTCGCTGTTGCACTTTCCCATTCCTGCATTTCACGATGCGTTTCTTCCTGGTTTGGCCTCATCAGGTAGACTTGACCTGAATTGGGAGTGGAACTCGGCGCATTGTGCTTGGCGGCTATCACCCGATCACTAGACTATTGTGCTCCACGAGCAGTGCTTGACACAGCGGTTAGAAGTTGATTGTCGGGTTTTGGAGTACCCGCTGTGTGCCTTGGATTGCGACACGCACTATGAGGCGCCTATCTCAGATAATTCGCGAACACATACCGGCCAGGTCCTAGGAAGATATTATGAGATCCTCCAACAGCTCCATTATTTTGCACCCTAATTTTGGGCATGCAGCCTCTTGGAATGACTTCAAAGTCTTATACCCATTACTTGAATGTTTCGTGCAAGGCTTTCGCAAGCAGCTCCTGTCCATTGCCGGGACTATATACATCCGCCACTTGTAACCCGAACTATGTATATAAAAGCGGTACATACGTGAAGCAGATCGCCTGTCTAGGAACGAGAATCGAGGGCAAAAGTCTATCTATGAGATTGACTTTTGTTGAAGACGCAAGTCTCAAGTTCCTATTGTCCCGACTTAATAGGCTGAAAGGTGTAAAGATCCACGTATGTGCTGACTTAGACCCAGCAGACAGAGAGAAACTCAAGTCTGCTATGATTGAACTAAAGCGACGCACGGACGATGGAGAAACAAATCTCCGTATTGTAAATTTTCGGGCAGTTACCCGGATTCCTCCGCGAATCCGGATCAACAGGTTTCTGGTGCTTCAGGCGCGCCCAGCGCTTCCTACCGCGGTGTGCGCGTAGCCTTTACTAACGTGTGCAGTCTGTTGAACAAGCGCGATGTGCTGTACTACTTTGTAAGCTCTCAGCGACCAGACGTATTAGGCCTTGTTGAGACATGGTTAAACTCCGACATAACCGCCCAAGAAGTGGAAATCAGCGGCTACTCATGCTTCCGCTGTGATAGACCATCAAATGATCGCGGTGGCGTTCTACTTTACATAAAGTCTTCCTTGTGTGGGAGACTAGTGAGCGCCTACCAAAGCGCTGGTGGTCGATGAGAGCAGTTATGGTGTTCGATCCACCTCAGACGCTGCGAGTTGCTCGTGGGCTTGGTATATCGCAGTCCACTGAGCCGCTGTTTGGACTGGTTGCCGCAGGTCCGCAACCACATGAGTCGTCAGTTGTTCTTACTCATGGACGATTTCAAATTACCCCGAATACAGTGGGCTGAGGCTGAACTTCTCCCCGGCCACTGTGAAGTCGACAGAAAGTTTACGGAGTTGCTATTTGAACCCGGGGCCACACAGCACATCAACCAACGGACACGCATTACTGCGCGCGACGCCATCGTGCTTAGACCTGCTGTTGACTAGTGAGCGACGTGTGCATGACATTCAAGTCTTAGAGCCTCTGGGAGCAAGTGACCACTCGATGATCATAGTCAGCTTGGAACTACTGTTGCCGTATTCTCCCCTACTGGAACCAGCCTTCAACTATTGGAAGTCGGACTTCAATGGCATCATTCGAGCAGCGAGCCAGATAGACTGCTGTTTATCACAGGATTCGTCTATTGAAACCTGTTGGACTATCATTAAAAAGGGAATGAAATCGTTGTGCGCCCGATTTGTACCCCTCAAATATCAGAAAGTTGGGCCAATCAACCCACATTGGTTCGACAAAGAGTACAGCAAACTGGCCCGAAGACGACGCAGACTACGGAACAAATTCATGTTATCTGGCTCTGTTGAGGACTACAAAGCGTACCAGGTACAGCGAAATCGCTGCAACAACGCGAAAACAAAAAACGCAGAAGCTTCGAAGTGCAGCTTGCAACCGCCGCAAAAACTGCTCCCAAGAGAATCTTCGCATACGTGAAGCGGCGCCTGAGGCCTGCAGCCAATGTCCCAGTGTTAGAAGGCTCCGATGGACAGCCCCTAACCTCGAGTACAGATCGTGCGTTTGCATTGGCGGCGCACTTCGCCTCCGTATTTGCAAGTGACGTTGTGTCTGTAAGGAGTTCGAGGAGTACAGCCCCCGCTGAACTTGACAGCCTAGACTGCAGTATTGAGGATGTACGTAAGCTTCTAGCAAATCTTGACGGGACGAAGCCTGCTGGGCCAGATGGAATTCATCCGCTGATTCTCAAGTCCCTATCGGCCATCATCACGCCTTCTGTAAATGAGCTGTTCAACAACTCACTATCCACTGGACTATTACCGGGCGACTGGAAATGCTCAGTCGTAGAGCCAATACCGAAAGGTGGTAACCCAAGCAAAGTGGATAACTACCGACCGATCTGCCTGACCGCAGTTTTGGCAAAGACGCTCAAGAAGATCCTGAAGAAGAATCTTCTGCAGCTTCTCGAATCGAAGAGCCTCTTGACCCCCGCACAGCATTGTTTCGTGAAAGGTCGCTCGTGCGTCACCAACCTACTGTTGACGATGCACGAATGGTTACAAGCGCTTAACCAAGGTAAATCAGTC